TGGAACGTTAACCCCAGACTGTGTGTATAGCCAAGCGAACGGAATCGGAATTGATAACAGATAAGGAACGAAGACCCTGTATAACCGTAATCAGACTTGACACTATTACTAACAGTTTGGGTAAAAAAATTCGAAAAAGAAGAGTTTCTTATACAAAAAATCGAAACCGAAAGAAAGTTGGGTGTGGAATTATTTTAGGCGTAATAAGATTGAAAAAAAAGTATATTGTCAAATTAAAGTTACGAATGAAGATGGTAGTGAAGAACCCTGTAATCATCAATATGGATTAACAACTGGGACAGGAAATTTAAAAGCTCATCTTCGCCAAGCTCATAGAATTTTGCCTCCTGAAAATAATAAAAATAATTCATTAAACAAAATAGTTTCAAACCAAACATCATTACATGATTTCGTAAATAAAAGAATTCCGCTACCACTTTCAAAACAAGATAAAATCGCAAGTCGTGTTCTAGCTTGGATTGTAGACGATCTTCAACTGTTTAACGCTATTACTAATAACTACTTTCAAAATATGATTCTTGAGTGTGAGCCAAGATTTGAGTTTCCATGTCACGATAAACTAAAAGAGAAGTTAATGCAATCAGTGCTATTTGCTGAACAACAGCTTAAGGATTTAATGCAAACAACAATGGATTCTTTTAGTTTTACAATAGACCTGTGGTCTCAAGTACATCAACCTTACATTGGCGTAACTATTCACTGGATTAGTCCCGAATTTTCCTTATACCAAGCTCTTCTTACAATTCAAAAGTTTGATTATCCTCATACTGGTGATCGAATTGAAGACTTTTGCCAACAACTTTTTGTCCAATGGGGAATATACGGAAAACTTTTTGGAGCTTCGACCGATAACACCTTGTCAATGGTTAAAGCAATGGATCAACTTGGCATTGAACATATAGGTAGGGTTGCTACAAAAATAAGATTCCTACATGTTATTTTAAGTATAAATGGGAATCAGTTTAGTCGACTAATTAGTCGACAAAACCGATTCCAATTATTAATTAAATTTCATGTAATTTTAATTGTATTGGCATTATGAAATTTTAGCCAAGTATCTTATAATAAAAATTACATGAAATTCTACTATTGGTTCTCATAACCTGATTGGGATACCTTATTTAAAAAAACTTACTATCCGGATAGATTATTTTGAAGCTAAAAAAATAAAAATCTGATCTCAGGTTTTTTTAAATATATATATATATATGCGTATACATATATATAAATTATGAGAACCAATTCATAAATTTCAGAAAGAAACTTAGATAATATGATATTATTACAACCCTACACATAGGTTGTACAGCACATAGAATTCAACTTGCATTAGGAGATGGATTTGGTATTGCAGAAGTTGATAATTTGATTAATAAAGCAAGAACATTAAATAGTCACATAAGTGGTAAAGATAAATACCGTAAACAACTTCGTAGGTTACAAGCCGAATTAGATCCACAACATTTAATTAATCCTCTTTCAAGCAATACTAGAACTCGTTGGAGTTCTACTTACAATCTTTTAAAAAATCTTCTGTTTCTTCGCAATGCTATCATGCACTTAGCTGATAATTTACAACAAAGTGTTAATCGACAAGAAAGACAAGATGGAATGAAAATTTTAGAACTTCTGTTGTCTGTAGATAAGTGGAATTCATTAGATGAGTTGGCACAGCTTTTACTCCCTTTTGCACAGGCGACTGGATATATTAGAGGAAGTCAATACCCGACCTTAGGAATGATGATACCTACTATTATTAAACTTTCACGTCATCTACAGGATTTTTATCCAAGAATTACATCTGCGGTAGTAAAAGCTTGTTGCATTAAAATTAACGAATCAATGTTGTCAAGATGGTCTGAACCTTCGCCTAATAGTTTAGTGGCTTCTTTTTTAGATCCGAGGTTTAAAAAAATGAATTTTATAACATCTAGTAAAAAAATAGAAACCATTACCTACCTTTGTACTTCATTTAGTATTCAAGAACAATCGACCTCTACCTGAGAAACCCAATCTT